CCTTGTGCAACGAGTCACCACGCCATTTGGCCAAGCAGGATAAATGGGAAGAAGCCATCAACGTGCTATCCAGAATCCGTGCTCTGCCTCCAGATCACCCGTACGTGGCAGCAGAGTTCGCTGACATAAAGTCTTCAATCGAGGATGAAAACGCGATCCTCGATGGTATGAGCTTCATGAGTCTGCAGAAAGAAATGTGGCTGGTACCTGCAAACAGGAAGCGCGCCATCATTTCCATCCTTCTCATGTTTTTTCAACAGATGACAGGTTTGTCATACACACACGAATCCCTTCTAGAATATTAAGCTAACGGGTGTCGAATGAAGGGACAAATGCCATAAATTACTGTCAGTCTATATCAATCTTTGTGTTTTGCTTCATTATCTTTGCTGACACCCAAAGCAGATGCTCCGCAAATATTTGCTACTCTGGGAGTTGAGGGTACGGAGAATGAACTCTTTGCAACCGGTATATACGGTCTTGTGAAGCTGATTGCGGTACTGGTTTTCCTCATATTCGTCGCCGACTCACTTGGACGTCGCAAGTCTCTCCTTTGGACAGGGATTGGCCAAGCACTCACCATGCTATACGTCGGTGTCTTCGTCGCTGTGGCAAAGCCACAGGACCAAGAGGGGGGCCAGGTTACACCCGCTGGGTATGTCGCTCTTGTCTGCGTTTTCCTGTTCGCATGCATGTTTCAGTTTGGTTGGGGCCCTTGCTGCTGGATTTATGTCTCCGAGATTGCGACCACTCGCCTCCGTGCTACAAACGTCTCTTTTGCCGCGGCGACACAATGGCTCTTCAACTTTGTTGTCTCGCGCGCAGTTCCTCCGATGCTCGAAACCATGGGCACTGGTGGGTTTGGCACCTACATTTTCTTCTGCGGCTGGTGTCTCGTCATGACGGCTTTCGTTTGGTTCTTCATCCCCGAAACCAAAGGCCTTTCTTTGGAAGCCATGAATCACCTTTTTGGCTTCCAAGAGGACATTCAAAACAAGCGCATCGACACGGAAAATGCTTCAGTTAAGAATGAGCTTCAGAATGGTGGTGAGTCCCAGGCTCAGCACAGCGGTAATTCTGTATACAGGGTCTGAGCAATTTGCTCACAAAACCAATGTCACATCCAGTTGAGTCAAGAGGTCTAAACAGATAGCATATTTCTATGTTTAGTGTGCAGTCATATCTGGTCATACTTTGCGTAACGACTTATTTGAATGAGAAAGATACGAGTAAAAGACTCTCGACTTTTGCGGCAAATGCTCCTACTTAGTTAAGTGCATCTGGTGAATCCCTGAGCCCTCTACAGAGGCGCGACCGTTGGCCGGGCAAGAAGGTCAGACCGTTCTGGGCTTCCGGAGTGCCCTTCCAAGATGCAGCGCTCGCCATCAATTGGATCTTCAAAGATAAGGTTGGGGTCAATGATATTGGCCTGCTATGAGGGCTTCGTGCGCTGTGCTCCAGGCAACACATCTAATCCGTCCGCTGACGTCAGGTTTTAGATAAACGTGGCGTTGCTCTGCGGAATGATGTCTTTGTAAAAGATATCTTCGCAAGCCCGAGTCGCCCAAAGAGACTGGCCAATCAATCGACACATACTTCAGGGCATCGCTGGGGCTGAGACCTGGTGAATTGCGATGCATATAATGCCAGTAGACCACTGCACTCTGAAATGGCGTTCAGTATATTGCAGGGGCGTTCGGCTCCAGTGACATAAACCCGTGGATGTTGAATACTCCGGCGATGGTGGCGCTCTCAGCCGCAAGGTCGCCAAGAAGACTTCACACCCCTTCAATCCTAACTGAGGTAGTTTGTCGAGGCTAAGAAGCTGGTGAAGGGCGGACTGAGCACCTTTCCCTTCTTCCCATCTTATCCTTCACGCTGGAAGCAGGCGCTCTTCTGGTCAAAATAATGCGCTACATTGCCTCGTGGGAAAATCTTAAGTTCGAGAAGCTTTTTTGGCCGCTCAGACCGTCGTCAGCAGTAAGATGGGGGAGTTCTCTCGGCGAGAGTTAGTTGTCACACAGACCCTTTTGGACGTCCCACAGTACAAGCCATTTCCTCTTTGAGAACGACGAGTGAGATTAGCATCCCTTGGTGGCATCTGAACATATTTGGGATTCTGTGCACTAATGTTACCGATTTGAACCGGCTTTCTGGTTTTCCCTGGAATTTCCTCGGAAGTATTATCATTTTAGACGAGAATCACAAACATCCCTCAAATGCCTCAGCCGGCTTAAACGATTCCCAGCATTCTGTCACATATATGGGAGCAAGGAATCATCTGTGCCATTCCGTACCCCACCCAAGCATACATAAATCCACTCTTCTATTTCCGTTTTCCAACGGAGACACCCACGAAGTCGCTTCCATATATGGAAACAGGAAATTCGCTTTGAAGTGTGGATGGGCTAGTGCGGGGTTCTAAGTCAACTGAACTCAGCTGCTTGCCGCGGCTGACGGGGCATGGACACTTTCCTGCGCCTAGCTGCTTGTCTCCCTGGAAAGAGTTTGAAAGTGAGGCTTCAGCTTCGAAAGCTAAAAGACCTGAACCACCCTTTTAGAGGACGAACTACAGACCTCTACGCCTGACTTGACTCTGTTTCTATGCTTACTGATATCGAATCCCTTCATACCTCATCTCGACTGTCATTACGTGCACTATTTCCCCGAGTCAAGCAAAATGGTCAGACTATTGAGCATTCTCATGCTTGGACTCGCAGTCTTTGCCGCGGCTTCACCGACCGTTTCAGATGCTGCTCCTGAAGACCACTTTCGATCTGGCTCACGCTGTGCTCCTGTGAAGGGAAATTGCTCGCCAGCCTGCGGCAAATACAACTTCGTGTTCGCGGGTTTGCCATGGAACCACCCTGCTATAGCAGCTAGCGGGTTTACCCCACAACAGGTTGAGGCTGGTATCCGGCAAGACATGGCAGCGATTGTGAAGGCTGGCTATAACATCAAGGGTGTGATATTTAGTGAGGATCAGTTGGAATTTTGCTGATTTTACTTGCTTAGCTGTTCTCTTCGGGCCTGAAGATAGCCTCGACTTCCTCTCATCGGAGTTGAAGGGTGTTGACTGGACAGCAGTCGGCGTCGGATTTGGCATTCGAGGAAGCCCATCTCCAAACATCACGCGCCGATTCATGGGTAAGGATTTACAGACCCACCTATTATGGAGATATTCTAACGGGATGGTGATGCAGACATCATCCAACTTTACCGCGAGGAGACCCCTCGTGAACGAATTCTTTTCAACTACTCTCCCGTCACATCTCTATGGGCGATCCAGCAGTACTTTCCACTCCCTATGAATTGCACCGATAATATGGGTAAGGACTTGGTGAGTGCCATTTTTAAGTAATACCGCTTTCCGCTTTCATACAGCAGCTAACGAAGTGAGTTCAGGGCATCGCGATCAAGTGCAGTGCTTGCTCTCCCCCTGTCTAGGCCGATGTTATCGAAACCTAACACCACATTGCCATAGCCGGTACACACATATAGGATGAGAATATTCAGATTAATTTGATATTTCGTGTTGAGGAAAATGGAATTAATGTCATGAGATACATGAGTTGGTATGATTCCGCTTTCTTGATCAACCGTCTTCAGCACACGCGCCTACGATCCACGTCTAACAACCCGAGATTATTACCTAAACGAGTATGAGTGGGAAAGCTTTTACAATGAATCATTGATAACCTTCAAAATTTTGTTTTCTTTGCGATTTATTTGACGGATCCTCGCCACCTTTGCCGCGGATCGCGCGGGCTTCTTGGTTGTGCATGTCTGGGCCAGCTGCAAAACACCTTCTCCTTATGGATCTACAGCGCGGTGTTGCTGATGAAATAATTGACTTACATTCATCAGCATAGGAAGAAATAATTCTGCTCTTCGGCAAGAGAGAAGGTCCGCGGGTAACGCTTGGGTCGCACGCAATGTCATCAGCGTCGCCAGTCGCGACGCTCTTGGGGCTGCTGAAGCTCACTTCATGTTTGCAAACAAAGCAGATGCGACTGTTCTGTTAACATAGATCATTCTTTGGAGGCCATACCTCATTTAATACCAAGGGAAAAACGAGCCGTTCTAAAAAGTTAGATTTGTCGGGTTGATTTATCGTAACGGTTATTGAGAATGGCCCCACCATGTCAAACCTTCGATGGATTTAAGGTTGCCGTGTCGGCTTCGGAGACTTCGTTCCGCCGGCAACTGGGATGATGGTCTGGCATTTGAAATGTCCGTGAAAGTTATCCTCGATGGCGCATAAGTAGCTCTCGGCGGCAGGCCTGCTCACTCTTTGCTGCGAAGCGATCTCCACCACAGGTCTTAATACCTCGCCATGACCGCAGAAGTAAGCAATTCGACTGAGTGCCGCTTGAGTCAGTCGCTATCCTCTCGTGATGATGACAGTCATGATATCTACACCAATTTCTTGTATCTCGACACGTCATCACCTGGTTTCAACGACCCCATAACGTTTCCAAAAGACCCTAAGGAACGGTGGGTTTCTTTGCCCGATCAGATTTCAGCACATGGTTGTGTTACGAGCGAATTTCATAATGCTAATCTAATGCCAGAGAGAATCTGCTTGAACTTCCCGGGAACAGAAAGGTTCTCATTGCCCAGCCAGCTGTTGTGACCGACGTCGGTGACAATATACGGCACTACACACTTGACTGTCATGGTTTTCAATACGTCAATCATACGACCAAGTGCAGCAAAGAGATATTTCTCGACGAAGCACAGATTAAGGCTAGTTACTATCCTGAGGTTGAGCAACTGATTAAAGACGTGTAAGTCGGTTGTTACTCATCTACGACCATGAGACAATTAGTAAATATGAAACGGCAGCTGATATACGCAGTACCGGGGCCTCACATGTTTATTTTTTCGATTATGCCGCCAGGGGTCCATTAAATCGTGATGACGGTGACCCAAACATCAATAGGCCAGTGAAGTCAGTCCACTGCGATCAATCCTACGAAGGCGCAAAGCGGGTCGTCATGTCACGGTTACCAGACAAAGCGTTTGCCGAAAAAGTTGTGAAAAATCGAAGGTTCCAAATCATGAACGTACGTTTCATCCATCGGCGTGACCATTCGAGAATGTTGACGAAGTTACGCTCAGATCTGGCGCCCTTTGGAACCAATCTATAAAGACCCATTCGCAGTAACCGACGCTCGATCAATACCAGATTCCGACTTGGTTGCCCTCCCCGTAATCGCCGGAGATTACACTGAAGAAAGCTGGGCTGCAGAGCCCAATCCTGCTCATCGATGGTACTTCAAGTTCGCTCAGAAACCAGATGAGGTCTTGATGTTCAAATGTTTTGACTCTGGTAAGAATAAGGACATCGCCCGTAGAGTACTTCATGCTGCGTTTACGGACGGGGCTCAAGAGCATATGCCCTCATGAGAAAGCTTTGAGGTCAGAGCTGTTGTAGTTTACGATGACTAGCTCATCAGGTCCGATTCATCGTCCCGATATCTCTCATGTAGCCGTTTCTTTTGAATGACACGATATCTGATTACATCAGTAGGCGCTGTGTACTTGTACCAAACTGTCGAGGTCAAAATTGGGAACAGGGGCGGAGTAGGCGTTGACACGGCTCTGGCTGAACACGGTCAGCTGCGTATATTTCAATTGCTTCATGAACTCTGCAGGCGACGCCCTCGCGTCTTTGCTAAGATTTTGCATATCGCTAGGAAGCAGAATTTGCTAGACCTCAAAAAAGCCGTTCTACCAATTTCTTCATGGTCCCTTTCAGGAGTAAAGGCAGACTTAGCTGACATGCATTTGTTAACACAACATCGTTTCTCGGGGTCATTTCTTTTCGACGACGGCAGTGTTGGTGATTATCTGAGCGCCTCGGATGACAACAGACTCGAGATAACTCAATACGGAGCTGAAGTGGAGACTTGATATATGGCCACCACCTGTGCCGCACAGTTACCTTGAAGTCCGCTTTGAGAATGTAGCGCGAGATTGCTCTGTCCCTACTTGGACGTAGTGGAGTTTATCTGGGGCCCTCCGCAAAGGGGCTGAGCGCCGGGGTCCGATTCAGGGGCCAAGTCTTGGTTCGATCTTCAAATCGTGGTTCGTCACGTCATCTCTCAAAGTTACTTGGACTAATCCACGTGCTCATATTTCCGTGAAACCCAGCAAGACAGATGGTCAGTGGTCTTTTGCGCAGTCTGTCTACTGGCTGGTGTTGTGAGACGCGTTGGCTAAGTCTTGCGTATTAATGTTTTATACACAGGGTTACTGACATCCGTCAGTTGCTTGGCTCCACTTGTCAATTATTTTAATCCACGTTGCTGAGCTGCAGATTGCAGGGGTTTGATAGATATGGATACCAACAACAGAATCTTCCAGTGCCCTTTGGTCCTACTTTAGATTACTCGACCGAATGTTTCACTTCTGAACCTTCGATCATACTTCGCAGTCCCTTCGTTCATTGCTCATACACTTTTCTTGCGCGGCCAACATTTCGAACACCTCTTACTGAGGTTGGCATCCATCTGTGTATCTGGAGTCTGTAAAGGAGCCAGGAAACGTGCCAGAATCAAGTGACGCTCCATACGCCTCATACTTAGTACGCACATACGAATAGGTCACACTGAGTTGTTTTGAGATCAACATGCTGACGCAATGGTAGAGCCTAGAGCAAACAATGACCTGCAAGGCTCAAGAAGCGAATGCGGATAGCCTCGATGCGAAGAATCCACACGATGGAGATGAATGGAGACAAGATGAATCATACCTAACATCCAGCCACGTCTCGTTCTCCGGCGAAACCTTCCGAACTTCCTCCATGTCGACATCTTACTCGAAGACGAAGTCGGCCATGTCATTGCGGAACATTCTTTGCGATGAAAGCTTCCTAGAGTCTGCTGAAATAGACGCCCATATTTCCCAGTCTTCGGCCCCAAAAACACCAAAAGACAAATTGGAAGACTGCACTCGACCACAAAATCGCCTACATTCGCCCTTAAACAATTATTCGCCATCTCCACCGCATGGTCGTAGGCATGCCGACCCCACGGGCTCAATGAACCAGGATCCCGCAGCAAATAGCTTGCCACAGGCAATACTGGACATTTCACCGACATATGACGCGAAATATTTTAATAAAGTTGTGGTTGGTACGCACAGTGGTAATAATCTTGCCAAGGAGCGGAAGGCTCGTCGCTGTCTAGGGAAATCGGACACACAACGCCAAAAGAAACGCGATAGTAAGGCTCAACAAGCAGCTTTGGACTGCTATGTGTCAACACTGACATTGATTTACGATGGAGCAATCGCGGATTTGAACTGCGGGCCAGACGATTCTTATAATCGCCAAGCCTCAAGCTTCTGAAAAGAAATCTGAAAGACATCCATGCTTCTATATGACACCGTTCTATCTACAACACTACCAGTGTCTGGTCGTAGAGCTTATTCAACAGACTTGTGCTTCAATTGCTGTTTATTCCCATGTGAAGATTCTAGTGCGGATTGCCGCTGTCAATAATTTGCAGTCCTCGGCTTCCCCCTTCGTCTCCTGTTACCCCGAGACTTCCTTTAGGTGGAATAGCCTGCCTTTGAGAAACAGGAAAATGCAGATGTGTGGATGGAATGCTGTAATTCTTATTGGAGATTGGTTGCATTCAAAGCCTCAAATTTGACCTATAACGACGTCGTAAGTAACTGCCGAGCGTTGTGGTCGTCTTCCGGTGGCGGCCTAGACACATCCGTCCCGCTTCGGCGGAAAGTGGATGGAGATGACGGAATATGGAGCTGTCATCGGCGCTTCCTCCGCCCATCAGCAACCCCACTTACCGGATGTGGTAGTCCATGAAATGTGTGACAATTAACTATCTTTATTCGTACATAGTCTTAATCGATCTCCAATCTTGGTTAGGTGCCCTTGAGATACCCAAATTTGGACTGCTGCCCCGTAATCTCCTTACCAACACTTATTTGCCAGCATAGTGCATCCTGCCCCCGAAAATTCTGGTACGACGTTAAAACACTCCCCGATGAACTGAGATCTCTTATACAGCTATATCATATGTCGCCACAACTCGCCAGCCTTCGTTATCAATTAATTACAAGACTTTATATTCGCTCAGTCTCATTTGGGAATCTTCACCTCACAGACTCACGTCAATTCACATGGAATTTCCCTCGGTTACTTCCATAGGTGGTTAGTCACATTTCCGGGATACTGGAGCTACCCCATCCGGGGCCCCGCGTTCTGGGGTTCTGGGGGTTACCATTGGCACCTCTATTAGGCAACAATGTGCTCGGTTGCCGGCTTGAACCACACCTCGTGAAATATGGAGGCTTCATGATGAGCACAGTGATGTGATAGCCTTAATGACCATAAGCTCGGGTCTTATTCTGCCGGACCGAAGGTGGTGGAGGAAGCGGTTCCAGTGTTCCTCTACGGTGGGACTGTGAATAGCGGGTAAAGGGGTTACCTTTGCATTGGCTAATACTTTCTGCGTAGAATTCATTACTATAAAGATGGCCAGTTTTCGATGGATCCTAAGAATAATTCAGGTTGCAGAGACAGCATCGTGATAACGAATTTCTGATACCCTTCGTCAAGAATCAAGCTCTCACTTTGGCATCACGCCCATTTGGTTTTCTTAGTTCTTTCAGTTGTTATGAGAGTCAGCAGTTTCGTATTGGCTGTCACAGCCTTTTCAGCTGTAGCTGAAGCTATCCCGTCTACTTCTTATGTTGATTGGAAGACTTTCAAGGCTACGGGAGTAAACCTTGGGGGCTGGCTGGTTCAGGAGGCTGTCCTCGATGCTGGGTTCTGGGATACGTACGGCGGCAACACCACCGACGAGTGGGGTTTATGCGTTCGGCTCGGCTCGCAGTGCGGTCCGGTATTGGAGAGGAGATATGCAACATTCTTTCGACCATCCGACATTGACAAATTGGCCAAGGCTGGCGTCGAAATTCTACGCATCCCAACCAACTACGCCGCTTGGATTAAGGTTCCCGGATCTCAGTTGTACAGCGGAAGCCAAGTCGAATTTTTGAGGACGATTGCGACATACGCCATTACCAAACACAATATGCACATTGTCATCGATATTCACTCCCTTCCTGGCGGGATCAACGGTCTCGGTATCGGGGAGAAAGACGGGAGCTACGGCTGGTTCAACAATCAAACTGCTCTGGACTATTCTTACCAGGCTGTCGATGCCGTGGTACGATTTATTGAAGACTCGGGATATCCCCAATCCTACACCCTTGCACCTATCAATGAGCCAGTCGACAACCGCGATTTCTCCAAGTTCGGTACGCCTGAAGCTCTCAGTGAGAATGGCGCTGCATGGGTGGCGAAATACATCAACGGAGTCCTTGCTCGGGTTCAAGCCGTGAACCCTCATATTCCCGTTATGTTTCAAGGCAGCTTTCGGCCCGAGTCTTTCTGGTCACCATACTTCGACGCTGGCGAGAATCTTGTTTTTGACGAACATCATTACTACTTCGCTGGTAGACCAACCACCTCGGAGAATTTACCAAGCTTCATCTGTGAAGATGCCAAAAGCTCTGTTGGAGATGGCAAGTTTCCCATCTTCATTGGCGAATGGTCAATTCAAGCGGTGAACAACAACACTTTTGCTAGCAGGGCTAGGAATCTGAACAACGGATTGTACGTCTGGTCCAAGTACACCCAGGGTAGCACCTACTGGACGGCAAAGTTTTCAGGGGACGCTCCTGTCGATGGGCAAGGAACCCAGAGCGACTACTGGAATTACGAAGGATTTATTGACTCAGGGATCATCATGCCAAATTCTGCGGATGGGTTTTGTCCTTAGATTCAGTTCCTGACATCACGGCTCCTTTCGGTCTGATTAATAATTCTTCCATGGAAATATAAGTCAGATGATATCGATGAAACTTCAATTGACACACAAACTGCAATGAGACGGACAGGAAAGTAAGAATAAATGCTTCCAGCAAGGAGTCGAATCCAAGTCCTCTTTGACTACTACTCCACCGTTCACCACCGCAGCACCAGCCGACAAGTTCTTCTTAGCTTTCTCCCAGGGCCAATTGGCAATCAATTCACTGAGTAAACTGATAAGAATTGGCGTCACATGTTGTTCGGCGAGCATTCATGCCGCTTGAAGCCTTGTGGTACTTGTGGCGTACCAGCTGATCGCCCCGCAGCAGCCTCTGTCTTAGTCTGATTGGGTTGCGGGCCTCCTAAGATCTACGAACAGGGTCCAAGACTTTCTGACCGCAAGAGTGATGGTCCAGTTGTAATTTGCCTTTACATGTCCGAATGCAGCGCAATCTAGCCGAGTTGGCCAATAGTAAATGTTCCACAACGCCATTGTTGAGTGAATGCGTTGCATTACAAAACCCGTCTCCTCACCCAATCCACAACTATCGATCCTACCCCTCTTTTCAATAATTTACGTCAGTGGACGCAATTCACCTTCCCAGTCAAAGCAAGAGGCCCCTTTCAACGATCAATGAGATGGCCGAAGCTTCGGAGAAGCACATTGGGTCACCCGCGGAATCCAGGCCAGCTGAGTCGTCAACTACTCGAGCATTCCTCGGCTCTATTGATGCACCATCTATGTCAGTAGGTGCGGTGCAAGACGGACCTCTCGAGGCTGATGAGGCTGAAACGGTATGATGTCTTTTCATTCATCATGTATGGTCAACTGACACCGGAAAGGGCAATGATGCACCATCAATCGACGACCGCATGTATGTGAATGGGATCCGAATATCATAGTCGTATGTTCCATGTTAACAGAGGTCGAAATGTAGCTCAAGCTACACCTCTTCCTTGACATCAAGTGTAATCGACTATCCAATGGAATATGGACGGCGATATCATGCGTTCAGGTCAGGATGTAATTTGTTTTGTTCCCTATCCCCGCCCTTGCATTGGCATCTCGGAACAAATCATTCTTTCGACTTACATTGATTGCTGACTTCAGTTGACCTAGCTTACGTTCTCCCCAACGATGAGACAGAGTCAGACCGACTCGACATGGCACATGCGCTCATTACAAGAGTGATTGGCAATAAGCTCTACCTGGCGCCTGTAGAGACGCCCCAGGTTCATCGAATCCTTGATATCGGTACTGGAACAGGAATCTGTACGAATCCATGCCTCCCTGATGGGGTGGTCTCTTTACTAAGCAAAAGCAGGGGCTATCGAAGCAAGTGACTTTTTTCCGAATGCAGAGGTAAACAAACACGCTTCAAACAAGACCCTAAGTATGAATGAAGTCTTAACCTTGTACAACTGGTAGATCATTGGCAACGATCTGAGTGCGATCCAACCACTGTGGTAAGTAGCTTTACTCATGATATTGACGCAGTCTGATATAGGAGCTGAGACAAAAGGGTCCCGCCAAATGTCAAGTTCGAGATAGATGATGTTGAGAGCCCATGGGTCGGCCCAAAGTACGACTACATCATGTGCAGGTACATGGCGGCCTCAATTGGCGACTGGCCAAGTTTAGTCACAAACATTTATGAGTATGTTCATCGTACGAAGATTCTTTTCAATTCTTTGAAAGAGATCTAATAGAATGCCAGCAACCTCAACCCCGGGGGCTGGGCCGAGTTCCAGGACATGAGCGTCGAATACTATTCCGACGACGGTTCATACAAGCCTGAACATTTCACATACAAGTGGAACCACACCTTCGTTCAGACGCTGAAGGCTATTGGACGAGACCCGGCCCCAGGCCCTCAGCTCGAAGGCTGGGTGAGGGGACACGGAGGATTCAACAACGTCGCCCATCAGAAATTCAAGGTCCCTATCGGGCCTTGGGCAAAGAAGCGGCATTACAAGGACATAGGGCTTCTTAATTTGGCGCAAGTTTTGGAAGGTCTAGAAGGATTCTCCCTGAAACTATTCTGTGGAGTCCTCGGGAAGTCAAATGAGGAGGTACAGTCGCTCCTTGCAGGTGTTCGCAACGAGTTGAAAACAAACGCTTTCCATGCCTTGTTCGATATGTTAGTATGGTGCGCCATTTTTTGCAGCTTTCAATCTTTGCTAACAGTTCTTCTCAGTCATGTTGTCTTTGGGCAAAAGCCTTTCACCAAAGAATGAAACGAAAAGGTCACACCTGGTCTGATCAGGCTCTGGGGTCTCTACTTTAGATTGACAGATATTCCGAACGGGAGTACTATCTGTTTACGAGTATCCAATATCTCTACTATGCCATGACATATCCTGGTGACCCTCCGTTGATTATGTGTAGAAAGAATTGTTCAAGAGTTCTGCCTTTCTCAAATTCTGGGAAGAGCTTCCAAAAGTCCAAGTATCCCAAGTAATCAGCGTACTCCGGTGTATTGTCCCCTCTAACGCACCAAGAAAGGCGGTACTGTCCCATGTTGTATTGGGCAATGTCCATGATGTTGCTTGGATGTGTTAACCCCTCAGAACTTTCCTTAAGCCTCCCGCCAGAGGTCTCAATGATTTGGTGTAGCTCGGCTTCAGAGACCTATCAATGTCACTGTCAGAAAATGTGGAGTCAATTACTGTGTTGAACCTACGTAGTCTTTTGGGGGCTCTTCGCCGCTGATTGTAGCCATCGTGCCCCATATGCCGTTCATGCTCAGAACCTCGGTATATGCTAGAACACGTCTGTTGAGAGTTCGATCATCTCCGATGATTTGTGCAACATACTTTCCAACGTCTGCCATGTCTGTCAATGCAAAACGTTGGTTCCCATCTTCTACAATGCGATGGTCAATGTACTTCATGTGCGCATGATCTGATCTGCCAGAAGGTATCTTGGGAACAAAGACCTGGAACCAGCGACCGACATCAATAATGGTGTATGGCAACCCCGCTCTCTGGATAGCACCGAGAATTTCTAATTCCTAATTTCGTTTCTTCATTAATTCTCTTTTCCTTTGGGAGGGGTGGGAGCGAGGGTCCAGCCTTCTCACCTGGTCTTTGATGTCAATCACACCCCTGGGTGCTGGCCCAACCCACTCTGAGGGTACAAAACGCTTCACGCCAGCCGCTTTAGCTGTATCGATCCAATTCAGTTGTTGATGAAGATGTTCCCAGGTTATACAGGAAATCAAAACATCAATGCCTCTCAGTTGGGCGGCAAGTGTCTCTCTCGGGCCATCTGGGTCATAGCCCGAAACCCCGACGCTCTTGTCCTTCAGCTTCTGATTTGCCGCGCTACCAACCGATGATTTTCGAGTGAAGGAGGTAACAACCTGTGTGCTGAATGTCAAGAGAGGAATTAAGATGGGTGGTATGGATCAAGCTTACGAAATTGAGATCGGAGCTAAGCAAACCATCGACCACAGACTGGCCCGTCTTGCCAGTTGCCCCAATGACTCCAACGGCAATACTTTCGCCAACCATTTTGATCTTGAAGTGTTGAGAGACCATGAAGTTCTCGTGATTGATGTTCAATCTTCCAAGGACTCGTATGAAATATTCGAGGGTTCAGATATTAGTTTCACGGTATGGATGATGTCCACTTACATCGTGATATCAAATGAATTATAATAACTCATTCTGTATACAGCGATCAGGGCAAGATACAAGCCGCTTCAATTGTCACTATCTAAGCCGTACTTCGCTTTCAATAGGTCCATATTCGTCTCGTTCAGAAGTTGAGTAATTTCGACTCTCGGAACTTTAGTCACTAAGTCACATAGACAATGCGTCATTCCCATGCTCATCATTCGGACTAATGCATGGCCTCAACAGTATGGTTTTTGGGACAGATTGCGACCCAGTCAACGTGCATACGGTGAATCAGCATTCATTCCGTCTTAAAGTCTGCGCCAAATCCTTCCGCTTCACCTGGCGGAAGCCAGGGCTATGTCCCCATAGCGATTTGAGATAAAATTACACACCACTTCCAAGCCCTCTCTAAGCCGATCGGATGGCATGCCAAGACCAATGCGAACCCAACCTGCGAATTCCTTCCCAAAGCAGGTTCCTGGGACTAGAAGGACTCCCTCCTCCACATGAAGCATTTTACACAGATTTACATCATCCACCGGCTTTCCTTCTCGCGTGAATTTGATGAATCCCATGGCTGCTCCTGCAGGTGCAACCCAACTGCAAATATCGGGATATTTGTCAATAAAAGCTTGCATGATGAACTTGTTCCTCTCTGCCTGCAAAATATTCCGCTGTATGATGGCGGCGGAGCGTTTTGAATGCAGTGCGAAATCGGCAACGCGTTCATCCAACTGGCTTGTTGTAATGAGGCAATAAGCCCGAGCATTGTCGCAAAGTTCAATGATGTTTCGGCTATGGGACGTCAACCAACCGATGCGGATTCCCGCAAGGGAATAGCTCTTTGATAGGGCGCATGTGGCTATCGTATTTTCATAGCCTAAGGAGATAATGGAAGGCGGAGTAGCATATCTGTCGCCATCTGAGGGGTAGAAAATCGGCCGGTAGATCTCGTCGGAAAACACGATGATAGAATGTTTAGAAGCAATCTCGATGATCTTGCGCAATTCTACATCGGAGAGGACAGTTCCCAGGGGATTGAGAGGATTGCTGTATTTTAGTTCCCATAATTAGTTCAAGTCTTAGCATTTTGCTAATGAGCCAAACTCACTTGATCACGATCATTTTAGTGTTCGCCTTAATAAGTCCCTCTAGCTCCTTGGGGTCGAAGCTCCACTTGTCATTGGCCTTGGCCTTCCAATAGCTCACCTCTGCACCTAACGAGCCCGGGACAGCTTGAAGCTGGGGATAACCAGGAGAAGTGACGATGACATGATCCCCGGGGCCAATCAAAGCATAGAAAACAATGAAATTGGCAAGAGATCCGCTGGCGGTCGTCAATACATTTTCAAATGGCAAGTCATCTGAATAGAGTTTCGCGATCTTCTTTCGCAGGGAGGGCAGGCCGGCAAAATCTGCAGGGTAGTCGAGAGGCTGAGATAGAAGAGAAGGGAGGAAGTCGTCGTGGTTCTCCCCACTAGCAATGGATTCAAGCTCTGAGATGGATACTGGGTGCGCTGAGGTATGAGCTAGGTTGTGATGGGCAGACTTTGATCGCTCGGCAAGCCACTAATACGAACTGTGAGTGTCGTTGCGTGCGTCTGGAGTGCATCAGACTTACATGATCCACAGCGAAGAATTCGAGTTTAACCATGATGTTAGTCAATGCCGGTAATAGAAGCAGGGCCAGGTGTAAATATAGTTTTGGAACAGAGTCGTATGTAAATGTTGAAAGATCGTCGATAAACATTGGAGGTCGTCCAAATATAACCGGCCGGCCGGACACGCATGCCATGGCCTAGCCAGGAAATCTTGATCTGGTGGACTACCAGAGATGGATACCAACCCATTAGTGGATGCAAGTCAGTACCATAGGGCGCCCTTCCTACAGACCCGCAGGGCGCGCCCTGTGGTTGATTGCCTGTGCCAAAACCGCCTGCAATTCATACAACAATTCGCCGGTAAATGGGCCAGTGTACCAACTGTGCTTAGCAGAGCTTCGAAGATCTTGAACAGTAGACATCTTCTAATCATGAATACGAAGGGCGCAAAATCAAACGAAGTCAATTCACCCTTGCTATTTTAAGACTGGATCAACACTTTGATCGATCCACTGTGGGGATCAGATGCAGTCTTGAACGCCTCAATCCCATTTTCCAAAGTGAACGTATGTGTTACAAGCCGCTTCAAGTCCACCATTCCACTCGCCATCACTCTTATCGCTCTTGGCCACATATTGACATACCGCTGCTGGAATTGGATATCCACCTCATTCGCACTGCATCGCATGAAAGGGATCTCCATCTTTTCCTTCCCTACACCGATAATGAAGACTTTCCCCCCAAATTTGACGGTCTGTATCGCGTTACAGACTGAACTCTGCACACCTGTACATTCCAATGCGACGGCAATTTCAACACTCTCTCCTAGTGACCTTTTGACGGCCTTTTCGAAGTCTTCGGGGGTCTCTTCTTTCTGTACTCTGTGAACGATGACCTCAGGCATGATCGTCTTGGCGAAGTCCAGCCTAGAAGAATCGATGTCTGTGATTACAATTGGATAAGCGCCTGCTGCTCGGCAGACATCGAGCGTGATCAAGCCGATGGGGCCAGCGCCGCATATAAGGACGGGGTCACCGATCTTGACCCCAGACCGAGTCACCCCAGTCAGTGCGACACTTAGAGGTTCAAGGAGAGCACCCTCGTCGAACGACAGACCCTCAATTTTGTGGCACCAGACTTCAGGATGGTTGACATATCGTCGCAAGAGGCCATGTGATGGTGGACTTGATCGAAAGAGTAGATTCTTGCAGCCATTGTATCTTCCTGTAAGGCAAGGCTCGCACGAGTTGCAAATAATATGAGGCTCTATGGCAACTCGGTCGCCTGGCTGCAAACGAGTGACTGTGGGGTGCACCGCGACAACCACACCAGCGGATTCGTGACCAAGTATATGCGGACCTTTGACTTGCCATGGCCCTATGCCACCATGCTTCCAGAAATGGACGTCAGATCTGGTGATTTGGAGGTTAGCTCAATGAACTTTGTAAGACCCGATGGACAAATGTGATGGTCTACTGGATTCGATACATAAGATGTATTGTCTCGATATTCTACTTTCGGGTTCGTTGAATGTCAGTTGTACTTACCCGCATATACCTGTAGTTTTCACAGCAACTGTTACTTCTCCGGCTTGTAAGTTTGCTCTAGATTTGACGTCCTCTAGACTGGGTGCGGCTTCGTCCAGCCAAAGATTATGGTCTGGGTCAATATGAATCCCGATGTTAGGTAGTGTCAAAGTCGGGGCGGATGATTCATCGGGTGACATTTCGGCAATAGACTTTTCAAGAACGGGCTGCAGCAACCAATGTAATGAGAAATGTCATGAGGGATGGAAAGCAAAGATAGAAAGGTGATCACAAGACTGTCCAACCCACATAGCTCAGCGTACATGAACGGATATTTCAAGCACTATAGGCCCCACCAATTGATGTCACGCGAACATTTCTTGCTTGTCCGTTGATAGATCGGTGGAGCGGGTGCGATCATGGTAGTGCACCCCGCACTTGAAGGCCGCAAAATATGCCCAATCGGGCAATATTGGCGTCACTGTGTGGGGGAACTCTCGACCGCCTCGCAACCTGTAAAGCATTTTGTCGACTTCCTGACACCTATTTTTGCAAGCGGGCCAGTGTAACAACATTCGACTAGGTACTTATTCTTCAATCTCACCACTACGCGGCTCTACAACCGAGAGAATTTACTTGACATCGACATCCAACCGAGAAACTTTGCCCATTATGCCCCTGTACAAACCACCCAATCCCGGCGCACCTGTGCTTTCGCAGTTTTCTTTGAAAGGCAAGGTTGCTGCAGTCACTGGCGGCGCCAGAGGCATCGGCCTGGAGATTGTCAAAGGTTTAGCTGAGGCCGGCGCCGATGTTGCTCTTATCTATGCCACCAACAAACAGGCCGAAGAGACGGCGGGCCAAATCGCTCAGGATACCGGAGTCAAAGTCGTGGCCTACCAGAGCGACGTGCGATCCCGTGCCTCAATAGCTGCAACTGTTGACCAAATCGTCGCTGATTTTGGACGATTGGATGTCATGGTCGCCAATTCCGGCGTCTGTGCCGATATCCCCAGTCTAGAATATACTGAGGAGACGTGGAAAGACAATAACAGCGTCAATCTCGACGGTGTCATGTGGACTGCTCAAGCTGCTGGAAAGATCTTCAAGCAGCAGGGGCGCGGAAACCTGATTATCACGACGTCAGTCAGCGCAACTCTCGTCAACATTCCCCAGAGGCAGGCTGCGTACAATTCTTCCAAGGCGGCAGCTGTGCATCTGGCCAAGAGCTTGGCTGTCGAATGGGTAGATTTCGCCCGAGTCAACTGCGTGTCACCTGGATTCATCGAGACTGACAGTGAGTTTTCATTCGCAAAGACTGGTATTTCAGACTTTAACGCATTATAGTGTTGTACATTCAACCGAAAGAGCGCTTCGACAAATGGATGGAGATGATTCCTGGCAAACGAATGGCCGACGCATCGGAACTCAAAGGCGTGAGTTATTCAAATTTCTCGCGCAGTATTCTGCCTATGTTGCTAACGTGATGAAGGTTTATGTGTTCTTGGCCGGTGATTCGTGCTGTTACATGACGGGGGCGGATATCATCGTTGATGGAGGATATACTTTGACATAAATGCGAGGATCTACGCTAGCAGCGCAATCCAATCGAATAGGGTGCGCATGCTGGTTTTCTTAAATGAGAGAGGGCATAGGCCAAAGTGTCCGCATACTGTGATCCCTCAAGCTTACAAATTGGGTGAACTTGTCGTGGTCTTAAATTTCGCGGGGGAGGAGAGCAGTGCCGTAGAGCCAGAATCACTTT